TTCCCAGTAAGCCTTTCCTCATTGTCCTATGCGGGCAATCTTATGTCCCAAAGGGGAAAGTGAAATACTTGAGGGTGTGCAGACCTCCCACTCCCCACTTTCTTGACTGCTAAACCAGTGAGTGCCCAGATGTGTCGGCTACTTTCCATTGTCTAACATAAAAATAGATATCAGCCTGTTTTTACATTTCAAACCATTTTCAAAAGTTTATTTTAAGTGTGTGAGTCTACGGAGGGGCAGTGATGGGGAGGAAAGGAACTATATAGGTGGAGTCTAGAGCCCCAAAGGAAAAAGGAGGAAGGTGAAGGGATTGAGAAGTACAGATTGGTGGTTACAAAATAGTCACGGGGATGTAAAGTACAGCATAGGAAATATAGCCAGTAATGTATTAACTATGGATGGTGCCACGTGGGTACTGGAAATATCAGGGGGAACACTTTGTAAAGTATATGGTTGTCTAACCACTATGCTGTACACCTGACACTAATACAAAATAATATTGAATGTTAATTAATTGAAAAAAAAATTTTTTAATTTTAAAAAGAAAAAAGGACCAGGATCTCAGTGTCTTCTCATTTGTCCTAGTATCAGATTTACATGAAGAAACAGAGTGAGGAGGGAATTAACTTGCCTGATGGCTACAGTATATTATTAGGCAAGGTGGTTTAAGAACCACTGCCTCGCTTTCTTTAGCACTTTCCTTTCCTACCATTCTCTTTCCTTTTTGTATATGGCCTTGACTTGCAGAGCTAATACTGAATTCTCCCAGAACCTGGCTTTTTAATTTGCTTTATATAGGGCTCAGCAAGGACACACACACACACACACACAGCCTCTCTCTTAAGTACTAGTTTCCTTTTGGTGATACTAATGATGAAAATTCAGATTCCCAGACCTTTTGGTTTGCTTTAGTTGCTATAGCTCTAAATAAACTCAGGGGTTGATAAGAGAGAAACATAGACTTATTAATATTTTCATTACACATATTAAACTTGAGCCCTGTGAGGAAAGGACTAAAGCTAATTTGAGTCCCTGCAGGTTCTTTGACTAACAGTCATATTTTCCTGAGCTGTTCTAAGCCCCAGACTCAAGCCTGTTTGACAACTTGGGTTGCTAATAAAAACGTCAGATTTTATATTGGCTGTTAGCCCCAGTAAATTTCTAGTGGAAACTACACTTATCCCTGTAAATAATAGGAAACATTCTTTTTTTTGGCCTTGATACTGTGTGGTTATTTTTAAAAATTGGGATTGACTGGTCATTTTTTCTTGGTCACACTAGAATTCTCTCCTAGTTTTAGTAATTTAATCGCAAATGCTGTTAATAACGCCTGAGATTAATTCACTGGTGTTTATTTGGACTTTTTATAAATGCAATCTGAAACTTAGTGGGAAGTATTACTGAAAAATATGTCACAACTTTGAAATGTTACAGGAAACTGTAGTGAACTGAGTTTAGGATTAAGGATGGTGTGGTTCTGGTTTGATAACTTAGTTTGAAGTCAGAATCAATGTGATTTATAGACAACTTGTGTCTCTAGGGTTCACAGGCTGTTGGAAGCTCCCGGTTAGACTAGTCTCAATTTAATTTGGCTAGAATCTGACCACCTGTGTAGACTCTGAATAGTTAGCAACTGTTTTCAATGAAACTGGGATCACGATATAATGAATCAATATGGCAGTGTCTCAGCTAGATTTCTGATCTTTTAAAAAAAGCTTGATTTTAAAACAGAATTTTAGGCATTTGTAAAAAGTAAATATCTGTCCAACTGAATATTACTTAGGGAATACACAAAGGATAAGAAGCAGTTCTCTTGGTTCTATGTAAGCCATCCATTTAGTCTTTGTTCATTTATTGGGTGCCATTTACATGTCAGATGAAGTGTTACGCCCTGTACCTGAATTTATCCTGTCCTTAGGAAGTTACAGTTAGGTAAAGTAAACCAGAAACACGTGAACAAATAAGTGTAATGAGGTGTTGAAGGTTGTACTTTGTCAAACTGTGTAAAGGTACACAAGAGGGAGAGATCAATACTGTAGTTTTGGGATTGACATACATAACACTATAGCCAGATCTTTAGGTTAATTTCATTAAACATTAAAGTAAAATGTAGTAGTGATATATTGATTCCTATGAGGAAGCAGTGGTTTACTTTGTAATATTGTATTTTTAAATTTTGAACCATCAACTAATACAAAGGGCTCTTATATCCAAGAAACGAAAAATAAAGACCAGAATTTGACTTTGAGATGTAGTAAAAGTTCAGCCACATCCTTGAAGGAAAAAAAGTTTCTTGTGAATTGACGATCAGGCTTTTTTGCTTATACTTACTATAAAGTAATGTTTGCCCAGGTATGGAGAGGGTGGAGGCAGTGGGAGTATGTGAAATATGTAGAGTAAGATAGTGAAGTCTGAGTCAGGGAGAGTCTGAAGTTCAGGATCTCCTGGGTGAGCATTGTGATCAAATGATCTGGCACAGTAGGGTAAAGCATTGGCAAGATGAAGAAATAACATCATTAGTTAAATGAAAACAAAGATTTAAATATTACTTTGGAGATTTGTATATATGGAAAAGAGAGAGTATGACATAGTAAATAGACATCACAAAGGACAACAATGTTTGCTGAAGGACATGGTACTTCTGTAAACTTTTCTGGGTTTTTAGCCAAGGGAATTCATAAGTGGGAGTGCCTTAAAACCCTTCTTTTAGGTAGAGAAGCAATAGTTGGGTCTGGAATAGTGACTTCCTGATGGAGCTAAAGAGAGAGGAGTGTTGCCTGGCAGCCCCCAAACCATAGATCAGGGTATCTGGAGAAGTACATGCTGGTGGATAATCGTGAATAGCTGTCTGCTTGAGACTGCCTAAGAGCTTCCACTGTTTAAGCCTGAACTCTAATCCTTGTTTCATAGATCCCTTCTTTTCTATTTTCTATGAATACTCTACCCCTCTAGATACTTAACTTGTTAATCTCTAGAATTTACTACTACTACTCTGCTTCTTCCTGGTAGCTTTTAAGTGTGTCAGACTACCCCATCCTCAGGAAATCTTTTCAAGGTTATCACACACTTTACCCCTGCCTCTCCTTGTTCATATGTAAAGTTCACAAGTGAATTAATTGTTGACATCCACTACTTCCAATTTTCTTTTAATCTCCAGCTTCTTGATTCCCTTTAAAATTTTGTTTCTGTCCTCTATCATTCTATTGGATCTGCCTGGCCTATGTCTGCCACTGCTCTTCTTTGCTCTTGGCTTCTGTGCTGTTACTATTTGTTTTTTCCAGTCTTCTTAAAGGGTTTTTTGCTAGCATACTTTCTTCCTACCCTACTGTATAAGAATTATAACTCACTGAGGATCAGTCTCTTTTCTTCCCCTCTACCTCTCACTTGGTTTCATGTCCTTTCTCCTCCTCAGTTCATTTTTTAAACTCTCCATAGCTGGCACAGCTTGCTTTTCTGAAATAATCTTTATTCTGTTAATAATTAAATAAAAATCTGTACAACCTCTTGCTACTCACACTGTAAAAAAAAATTTTCACACGTGTGTTTATGTGCCCGGTTTGTTTACCATCTAATTCAATCTCTTTATTTGTATAACCTCATATTTGTGTGTTATTTCTTCTTTTACCCCTAGAGTTTGAATACCTTGAATTATCTTTCAAAAGTAATGTATAATACATGATAGGTACTCAGCAAATGGTTATTGTTAATGATTAACAAAATTCAGGAATAAAATTAAGTATTAGGGTAGATTAAGTGGCTGACTTCAGTCTTTTCCCATTGACCTTTTTCCATTGATGATAATAGCCAGCATTTTTTTTTAGCATTACTAAGTGTTAGGTAACATGAGGAATAATTTTGTAAGTTTGTCTTTTTCATTTAACTCTCACAGCAGCTCTGTGAAATACTAAGTTTTGTTTATTTTTTAAGGAATCCCATACTGGAATGCTGATAATTCAGTTAAATTCTCAATCCAGGAAGAAATGCCTAGAAGAGCCACTTGATTTACTTCCTGTCTTTATCCATGTCCTCAGTTTGAAGTATAAGTTTAAAAACCTGTCTGCCTCTAGCAATATATTCGACTTTGACACAAAATCATATTCTATAACCTTGTTTCACTTGTGTCAGTTGTCCTCGATTTCAAGAGATAGTGCCACACCATTCCTCTAGTGTATTCTCAACTCTGGAACTACCAACCAAGTTTATCCATTAAGTAATGCCAGGAATGGGTTAGCTTCTTGGAAACAGAATTTGTCAACCTGATAAACCAGCTCTTACAATAGCATCATCTTATACAGAATTAGAAACAATTTCTGAAGTCGACTTGTCATGGATTTCACTTAAAAAGCGTATGTGTCTCTGTGTGTGTGCATTTATATCCATCTTGATTCAATATCTGAGTTGAGACAACTGAAATTCTCAGTTCTAAGGGTGTTTACCTTGATACAGAAAACTCCATGCATTCTGCTCTTGGGAATATTGCTGGATGCCCCTACGAAAACACCTACCTAGTCATAATCCTTATATTGATCACAATTTACTGTTACAGTTGGCCCAGTAATTTTATACATACATATTTAATAATATAAAAGCCAATTTAATGTAAAAGCCTATATATATTTTATATATGCCAAACTTCCTATACTAGATGTTATTCAAGTTTTTGAACCTTGGTTGGAAGGTTAAAATACAAAACAAGTACCCAAGCAGTTCCCTCTCTTTAAGGAGCCTATGGAAAATTATTAGAAAGTATAAGATAATTGATGGGATATATATGTTGTATTTATTTATTTTTAAAAAATGTATCTTTATTTCAGAGAGAGGAAGGGAGAGGGAGAGAGAGAGATGAGTCATTGACTGGCTGCCTCCTGCCTGCCCCTTGCTGGGGATCGAGCCCAAAACCCGGCATGTGCCCTGACCAGGAATCGAACCACAATCTCCTGGATCCTAGATTGATGCTCAATGGCTGAGCCACGCCGGCTGGGCGTGGTGGGATGTATGTGTTTTAATTTTGATAAATGTCTTTCTGTAAATGCCAACTTCCTCTTCATTTGTTATCCCATTTACCTCATTCTTTTGGTACAAAGATGCTCTAACCAACTGAGCTACCCAGCCAAGGCCTTAAAGCTAATTCTACTTTCTTGAGCAGGCAAAAACCTCTTAATGGGCAACCTTCTTTTCCTACACCTACTCAGAGCTCATGTAGGACACCAGAGCAGATTTGGTCTAGGAAGAGGGGAGAGGCATGGAGTGCAGTTTTACTTCCTATACTTCATGCTGTTCTTTCCTTTCCACAGGCTATTAGAATATTTCCAAGGGACAATGATAAAGGGCAGAAGATAGGCACCCTCTTTGGGTGGAGCCTTTTGTTCTTGATTCTTTTAAGGTGTGCCCCAAGTCCCCAGGTGACTCACTTGTCACCAAAGCAGGTATAACAGCTCATCCCTCATGTTCCTTTCCAGATCAACAGATTTATTTCTTTTCAACTCTCAAATGCTATTCAGGTGGACAAGGATCTCTTGAAGGACCTGGGAGAATTTTGTTTAACATGGAATTGGGCTGGTTTGGGTTCTGGGTTTTGGCCCATTGTCTTCAGTGCATGAGAACTCTAGTACTTTATGCTATTTCAAGAAAAGGGGATTAAAAGTAATGCCAGTAAAATGGAGACAATGCATTGCTTGGTCAGTTAGGGAAGAAAAACAATAGAATTGCCTTTTGACTTCCCTATGGGAAGCAGAAGGCCTATAAACTTGTGAAGGTTTGGGAGGAGGGCATTCAAAGGCTAGGCTTGTAAGACAACTTCTGTTCAAAGCAGCCACCTGAGGTCCTTGTTTGGTACCTTTTAAAATGTTCTGTCCTACATATGATACTTTAACAATAAGTCTGTGACTCTGTTCCATAATCAGCTCTCCATGAATTCATCTTTTCACTCAGTACCCTTCTACACTGTGCTGTGTTGTTCTTCAGTTCACTCCAACTTTTCATCTGTTTTTCCTGGTTGAGTTTCTCTGGCACTGGGAGAATTGCTCTTTTTGAGCACCTCCCTTGCCCCCAGTGAATTGGTAAATATTGCTGCCAGAGACCTGATTGGCAAACTGTTAAGAATCCATTAAAATTCAAACTGCCATAGTCTGACCTCAGTTATCTACTTTTTAGAGACATCAAATGTATATAATTATAGTTATAGTTTTATCTGGGCAGCACACCCTAAGTATTAGTCATAGAATTTGTGAAAGTAGTTTGCTGGTCTGTACTAAAGTATCTTAACCCACGTGACCCATGCATGTACTCTTTCATTTCAGACGAACAGGAGGCATTGAACTCGATCATGAAGGATCTGGTGGCCCTCCAGATGAGCCGACGTCCCCGGGTGCCTGGATATGAGACCATGAAGAACAAAGACACAGGTCACCCAAATAGGCAGGTATGTGTGGCCCTGGCAGACTTATTGGGGAGGGGTTTTCAAAAAGGAAATATTTGAGAAGCCAAGAGTATATACTTTTAAGTGGTATATATCACCACCTAAAAGATTGTGAAAAGAAGCATGATCTGGAGTCCCAAAGCCTTGTGCATCTAACCTTGTGTATAGTGTTTCATTAGTGGAGAATAAGAATAATCCCTTTATTTATTATGGGGACAGTATTCATATAACTTTTCTCATTTTTTGGCCAATATTTTATCCAGATTTATAATCCCTAAGGTTTTTAGCTACCTTACAGTATATACTCAGGAAAAATTAATTAATTTTAGTATTAGCTTATGTAAAATATAATTAGGAAGGGAAATTTATTTAATAAAATGTCATATAATCTAAAGTTAATAGTGAGTGATATTATTGTTTATAGTTGTTTTCCTTTATTAATTCAGATAGTTGAGAGTACCTGTTTTATTGAGAGTTGTGTGGTTCTTTAGGAAAAGTTTTTATTTTTGTTAACATTTAAATTTACATGCTGAGAACCTTCTCATGTGCAGTGTCATTTATCTCCCTGTTTTCTGGGTACTTTGGCCTGCAGAAAGGAGTGAGTGATGGGGAGCTTTCCACCCTAGTGGATATCTAGCACTGTATCAGATGGAGGTGTTTGGTGTGTTTGATGAAAATATGTCCATGACATCCTCCCTTGTGGTTCCCTTCATTATCAGCTAACCTCTTTCTTCATTTGTACCTTGTCTTCCAGTTTTTCAGAAGTACCCTTGGCTCCTAGAGAAAGTATAAGGCCCTGAAGTTTTTCTGTCTGAGGTCTGCTAGATATAGTCTCCTAGAGTATTTCTTGCCTTTAGGGAAAACTGGGGACCTTCATGTTAGTAGAAGGATTAGTTTAGAAAACTGTTTTTATTTTTGTGGTTACCTTATAGAACTGAGGGAACAACAGAATAGGGCCCATTCTTGTACTATTTTCATACATTATTTTGTTTAATTGTATGAGTTCTCCCTTGCTATAATTCATTTCTATTCAAAGCTGCTTTTGGAAGGAGCATTTTACCAGAAGTGAGTCCCCTCCCCCAAGCTTGAGCCTAATGACCTCACTTTCCTTCCTGTCTTCCTATGTGGAGTATGCTTGCTAACTCTGTTCTAGTCAGCTGATCTTTCTCCAAATGGGACTATTAGCCTGGATATCAGTTCATAGGTGAAAAGGAGAAGCTTTCTTGAGTTTGAAGGCCCAAAGGGACTAAGGCTGGGGAAAAGAGAGGTAGAGTGGCCCCTGATTGATCCTTGAGGGGTGTTTGCTTTTTAGGAATCTTTCTGCTTAGAGCCTAAAAGCCATTATAAGAAAAGTCCTAATCTTTTATTGTGCCTACTGTTATTGGAGTGAAGTCAGTGGTTATGACGATAGAATTCTGTGAAAAAGATTGACTCCTGGTTAGGAAGTAATCTTAGTAAGATTGGCTATTTGGATCCATAATTTACTTGAATATCGTCAAACGTTTTATCTTGCATAGAGGATACAAACTATTAACCTCAGTTTTTTTGTTTTTAAAGAAAAAACACAACAGCAGCAGCTCAGCCCTTCTGAACAGCCCCACAGTAACAACAAGCTTATATGCAGGGGCCAGTGAGACAAAGAAATTTTTGGTAAGGAACCAAATTACCCATTAAAGTTAAAATATGCTTTTGAACCTGATACTAGTGCTGGAAGAATGTGGACTTCATTTCCCAGACAAGTCGGGGATTTGTAGGGAGCATTGGTTACTCGTTACCTATGTTCTGTGCTTCTAGTCACCATTTCTCACAATATTATTCGTAAGCAGACTCTATCAGTGCTGTCCAATAAAATTTCTGTAATGATAGAAGTGTTCTATATTTGTGCTGTCCAATGTAATAGCCACTATCACATATAGCTAATGAGCAACTGAGAAACTGAATTTTTATTTTTATATAATTTTAATTATTTTAAATGTAAATAGCCACATGTGGCTATTGTTTTGGACAGCACAGCTTTGTATACTATATAAGGGACTACTGGTTTGTTGGGCAAGAAATTCAGTACATGCTTGGAGATGTTTGGTGATTCAGTAACACATTCATTTCTTTACACAGATTATAAGTTTCTATGCATTGTTATAAGCTTGTGAAGCTGTGGAACAAACATGGCTGTTTAGAAATTGAAGCTCAAAATGTTATGCTAATATTGGGTAAAAGGGCAATGATAGTTTTTCCCTTAGTAAAGTCAAGGTTGTGGAATAGTCTCTCCTGGGAAGTGTAGCAGATGTTTAACTTCTGACCAGGAGAAGTATTCTACAGCAAAATCCTGAAAGGAGAAAGAGGGAGGAAGTCTCAGTGAATGCATTCTAAGAAGGATGGAGTGAGATGGGGGTGGGAGGAACTTTTAAGGAGAGAGGTGTTTACAGCTTTGTGTAATGAAAAGACCTTGCCTAATAGTCTGGAGACATTAATAATCAGTTAACACAGGATTTTACAGTTGACAGAGTGAATTCACATTTTTTTGTTTTGTTCACTTGGGTCTGGGTAGAATTAAACAGTTTCCTCCATTACTATATCTTCTACCAGAAGGTCCATGCTTAGGAGAGCAGTGAAAGATCAAAACCTAGTTTAAATGGCTAAGAGATGTCAAATTGGACTAAAGATTCAAATTGCAGAGTCCCAGTTGAAAGTAACGAAGTATTTTGGCCAGCAGGAAAGGTGGTTTATTCAGGGGAGGGATGGTGCTGGCAGAGGCAAACCACACTTTAGTGTGAAAATGGCAGTGCTGGCTTCAAGGCAGAGCTGAGATTCGCACAGCTTCATGGGGCTCAAGCTTGGTACAGCAAAGAAAACCAGAGGAGCTGTGGATTCATTGACAGAATTGTTTGGGGGCTGAGGCCTGGAAGAACTGGAACACCTAATTTAATATCTCTGCTTGGCAGGACTTCAGACATCTCTTCCCTAAGTAAATAAGCTGAGAAGTTGGTAGAAAAGAGAATGCTTTAGAGAACAGCTAAGCGTCTGAGCGGTTATGGAAGTACATGGGCAATGAGGTGCTCAGCTAGGGGTGAGGACCTGTGTTCTTTGTATTCTCCCTCCTGTCCATTAGGTCTCTGAAAGTCTACGGTCTGGTTAGAACTGGATGGACATACTTAGACGTATGGCACATGGTAAGTGTGCTGGGGCCTATGGATAGTTTTGTAGGTAGTGATAGGCAACATCCCTTTAGCAGTCATCAACTCACAGTGCTTTATAAGCAACAGGTGCTATTTCTCTGTGAACTTGACAGCTTAGTGTAGTGAAAAGATTACTGGTCAGAAGTCATTGAGTTGTTAATAATCTATTAACATAGGCTTTTACAATTAACAGAGGGCTTTCCACAACAGTTAACAACTGTAACAACAACTATAAGCATGTGTATAATACTTTAAAAGTTTGCAAGGTTATTGAGTAGAGCCAGGAAGCAAACCCAGATCTTCTGACTGACTTTTGGTCACAGTAATTTTACAATAATTTTACTGCATATAAGTCTAGTAGCCTTTATAAACCTCAGTATTTCCATTTGAAATACAGAGATAATACCCACTGTGTTTACCTCTTAAAGCTGTTTTGAGATCATGGACAGAACTAGAGCATTTTGTACATTGTAAAACAAATGTACAAATATGAAGCAGTAATTACATCACGTCTGTTATGTTTTGGCATTGCGGGTATGAGCTCTAGTGAAAGCTTCTAGCCAGAATTATGCATACTGTCATGAAATTGAAAGGGTTAAGGTTTCCTACCTTTATTGGCTTGTCATTACTGTCTGATGGCCCTTGCAAACTTCTGAAACTAGCCTCATTTCTGAAAATCATAGTGGAGGAAGAAAGAGAATTCTTATTTCCATAGATTCTTGTTTCTCTCAAATCTTATCAAAATGGTAGTTAGAGGCTTGAATAGAGCCTAGCGTCTCAGTTTGAGCCTCCAGATGTTCACTATTGGGTGCTTCAGAATAGGAAAGATGCTTTCTTCATAGCAGGCATAGCAGGGCAGTTCTCTTGGCTATCAGTTCTAGAGGAAAATTTTAGGAATTGTTCCCCCAGCAGGGTCAGTGATTTAACAGACTAGACTGAGTTTTGCTTTTACTATGATAGATCTGGTTCTTTAGGACTTCCTTTGACTTTCAAGGGTTCTTGAAAAGATAGGCTGGCTAGTTTGAAAATAAAACATAAAGCAATACACAAGCCTGGTATTCTGTTTTGTTAGAAGTTGCTTTATAACTATGTCTTTCACTGATCTCTTAGGAGTTTCCTGAGTCACATTTACAAATAAAATTATTTTCATTCCCCTTTTCTTTTTCTTCTTGTTCATATATTATCTTTGTCAAAATAAGGACTCCAGTGCCAAAGATGTGGGAGCCATCAAAAGATTATATCAGATATGGGGGAAGAGAGCACTACAGAATCAGAGAGAGGGTACCAGACCTGATGACTAGCTGAGACATTTGCCAGGTCAAATTAATTCACAAACCTTTGTTTAACAGACACTGATTTTTTTTTTTTAGATTCTTAGGAGCCCTTTTGGGTTACAGGTGCAGTTGTTGAGTTCAGACTTTGGTGTCATCACTGGTTACTCTTATTGCCCCTGCTGAGTTTCCATATCTGTAGCTCACCCTAGAGATCTGCACTGTTCTTCTCCTGAGTGCTTCTCTCACTATTCCTTTCACCAGATTGGCTGTAGTGGGCAGGGGACTTGAACCTGTCTAGATATGAATTTTTGTACTGGAACTTTTTTCTCAGCAGCTTTGGCCTCTCTCCATTTAGTTCAACATGTGCCCATAGCTAAGTTTCTTAGACATAAAAAGGAAATATAAGTTATGTTCACTGTACCCTAGGAAGCATGCAGTTTTATTGGAAAATGAGAAATTCATGAAAAAATAAACTAAGGTAAAATGTGACTATGCCTAAATATATGGTACAGATAATAAGTGCTGTAGGAGGCCAGGAAAGTGAAAGGTAAACTTTGGCCAAGGAGTGATGGAGTCATTTCTGGAGGAGGTGGCACTTGAACTAGGCTGTAAAAGTTCAGTTAGATGGAAAGGAAGAAGAGTGGCATTCCAGGTTGGGAAACTGGATGATTAAAGGCCTAGGGAAAGGAATGAATATAGCATATTTCAGGAACTAGGGTGAACATCGATCTGTCTGGAGAGAGGGTTCCTTTAGAAAACAAACAATGTGAAATGGCTAGGTAAACTGAGTGAGCTTAAATTCCAAAGGACTTTGAATGATAGCTGAGAATTTAGACTTTATTCCATAAGGTCATGGTGATCACTGATTACTTTTTAATAAGGAAGGGACATGGTGAAAGCAGTGGTCAAGATGATTGAAATTGTAGAGGAATGTAAACTATGTTGGAAGGGGGTTGCGTACAGAGTTGCTTTTGGAATCCAGGAGTGAGAGAAAAAGGGGCTCAGTGAGAGTGCTGATGGTGAGAATGGGTAACAGTCTTATACCAGAAGCCTTTGAAGGGAGAATTAGAACTTGCTGTCTGTGAAGAGGGGAAAGAAAGGAAAGAATCAAGCAGAACTCAGAGGTTTGAGCCTGTAGCCAAGTGGAACCAAGGTTAGAAATAGCAACACTAAGAAGGGAGACTAAGGTAGTCAGTGCAGACTATGGCTAGGTTGAGTCTGATATAGTGAAAAACTCAGACTGTGTGTCTATATGTGCATGTGTCTTTTGCAGGTACACAGTCCCTTATCTACAGTTTTGAAATCCAAAGAGTACTGTAAACTGAAAGGAAATTTTTTTTTTTTGGTAAATTTGTGGCAAGCTCATTTGGCAACACAACCTGTTCTGGCCCTGGCAGGTGTGGCTCAGTTGGTTGGAGCATTTTCTCATGCATCAGAGGGTCGCAGGTTCGATTCCTGGTCGGCACATACCCAGGTCATGAGTTCATTCCCTAGTAGGGGCGCATGCGGGAGGCAGCCAATCTGTGTTTCTCTCTCACATTGATGTTTATTTCTCTCTCTTCCTCTCCTTCCCTCTCTCTAAAATCAATAAAAATATATCTGGGTGAGGATTAAAAAAAAGAAAAACAATTAAATTTAAAAAAAACCTGGTCTGAATGAACACAGGGCTACTTATAGTCTTTATTTCATTTATTTTGAATATTCATACTTTTCATTACAAAAACTAGTCTAACAGATAAACCCTAAATCTTAGTGACTTAACACAATATGTCTAGTACAGAGAAGGAGAGGACAGGATTCCACACAGTCACTTAGGGACCCTAATTGAGGTTGGCTCCACTGATCTGGAACATGTTACTGCCAGGGAAGAGAGTCTAGAAACTTGATTCTGTTCCCTACTCTTGGTCAGAACTAGTCACAAAGCCCAAAACCAACTTCAAGAGAGGCTAAGCAGTGCAGGGGAGTGCACAAAATACCTGTGAGCATTCTGCCTCTGCCATGGGAGTGCTACCTCATGCACCCTCCCCCTGGAGGGAGATGTTACGTAGTACCTAGAACATGTATCATACTACCTCTCTAAATCCAAAAGTGCATTCTCTGAAACACTTTTGGCCCCAACGGTTCTGGCTAAAAGATAATGGGCCTGTTAGCACTTCTGACATATCAGGGTAGTGTTCTCATACCTTTATCAATTATTTCATTTAATTCTTTTTATAACTCTATAAGATAGATACTTTCACTATTCTCACTTTACAGATGAGGAAACTGAGTCACAGAGAGTAGTAACAAGTTCAAGGTCACATAGCTCTAAGAGTTGTAGAGCCAGGGTTTGAAGCCAGACAGTTTGACACTAGCGCTGCATTCTTCTTCTTTTTTTATATGTTTTTATTGATTTTAGAGAGAGAGGAAGGGAGAGGAGAGAGAGAGAGAGAAACATCTATTGGCTCCCTCCTGCATGCACCCTGACCTAGGATTGACCCCACAACCTGGGCATGTGCCCTGACTGGGAATCGAACAGGCGATCCTTTGGTGCACCAGACTGCGCTCAACCGAGATGCACTGGCCAGGGCTAGCACTACATTCTTAATGGTGACATATCGGCCTCAGATAAGTGGCAGATAGATGAAGTTTTGCTTGAGAGATTGGGGCTAGACATAGAGATTAGGGAATCTTTTATTTAGTAGTTACCTGATTTTTTATTTCTACCGAGGAGAAGATGTGAGGAGAGGAGGAGAAATCCAGAGGCCAAAAGTCCAGACATCAAGGACAGGTCATGTGGGGGGAGGTGGGGAGACAGCATGAGGAAGAGGAACCAGCAAAGAAGCAGAAGTGGCTAGAGTGGTGGCAGGTTCCCTGGCCTGCGATAGTCACAGAGGCGGGAAGAGAGAAGCTCATGAAAGGGGACTTGGCCAGTTTGAAATGCCTCTGAGAGGCACGGAGAGTGTTTGGCAGAAAGGAATTGAATTAAGTTATCTTTATCTGAATCTTCCTTATCCATGGCTTATTCTTGTCAGCCTGACAGGGGAAACTCAGATTCAGGAATTTGGCAGATTTGGGCACACCGTGTGGTACATGGAAGTTGGTCACAAGCCTGCATCATGCTCTGAAAGGTTGTCACCATATCAGAGAAGGGATTCAAGGTGCTAGGCTTCTTTGCTTACACTGCTTACTAATCACAGGCTTGGTTAGTCTTGAGTAGGAGTGATTTGTGGTTTGGGGTAAAAGTTTAATTCCCTTTCCAACTAAATGCACTAATTTCTGACTAATAGAATAGTGCTTAGATTATGGCGCATCATGAGTAAATTTAGTTTCTCTGTCCCACCAAGGGTCTGAGGGGATTCCTTTATAGGTACATCTAAATATTATCCCAGTTTAAAAATGAAAGCTATTGTTATGTGTAACTGAAAAAAATAAACCTAAGGACATCTAGATAAACTATGAACTTGAGATAACACATCAATATTGGTTATTTAGTTATAACAAAAGTGTTCCATACTAATATACCATGTTAATAACAGGGGAAACTGTAGAGGGGGAGTATATGAGTACTCATTACTCTATCTGTTCAATTTTTCTGTAAATCTAAAACTGTTCTAAAAATAGAATCTATTAATAAAAAATAATAATAAGAGAGCTATACCACGGTGTCCTGGACTGTGAGCAGGAGGAGATAAAAGGATGTAGGACTAGGACTGCACACTGCGGTGAACACTTAAGCTACTCCAGAGCCAGTTGTGGAATTGAGATAGTGGGAAGCTGGAGATGGCATGTCAGAGCAAGGCAGCATGTCTCAGTCACCATGCTTGGAAGGGCTCTTGCCTTGGTAACTGCTTAGCATTTCAGGGGAAGGAGAAAAGGAAGACTGTGAAAAAACTGCAGTCACTCCTGTAAACCTTGAATCTACAGGATAACTTCCTCTGCTGCAGCACCTCCCCATCTTTCTGCTACACCCCCCCCCCCCC